CTCGCCCTTTTCTCGATGATTGTTGATTGACCGATCAATTGAAACTTCCGATAGTTCGGAAGGAAGATCGTTATTCTGACGTTTAGATCTCATTCCATCGGCTTTTATGCTGCGAGAACTATGAAAATGCAGGCAATGTGTTAACGTTGAAGGAAAACGATTTTTATTTTGCAACGAGGGATAAAATTATGAGATTTATCGAGCAAGTTTCGGCCTCGCGCCTTCCATCAAACTTCCCGCTGTCCTTATTTTTCCCGGTTTCTATTACGCAACGTTCAAGAATAACGATGCCATGTATTGCCGTTTCGGAGTTTATTGTTAAAACTACCTTGACGTACGCGAACGTGGGAAGATAACGCGGGACTTTAAACTGCATATTCTCGAAGTTAGTCTTTATGGTGCTTCGGGAAAGCCTGTGGAAGATAACGCAAAAGAGTGAAAGAAGACATAACTCGTATCTAACTTTACTCATACTTAAGATTGAGCAACTGAAGAAAATGCGTAACAGCGAACTGTAAGACTGCAACAATTCGCGCGGTCTTTTTCTTTCTCCGAGAAAAAGAATGACGAGAAAAGTCTATAAGAGCCAAACACGTTTGGCTCTTGCAGACCCGTATTAATAAAATGATCACTTGAAACTCTTGAGTGAGATATTCAGAATTGAATTTAGTGATAGCTTTTCCTGAGTTCTCCAGGTAAATCGTGATCACGAGTGCCACGTGTGTCGTAAAAATCACCTGGAAACTTCAGACTTAACTCCGAATTCAAATCTGAATATTTCACACGAACCAAGCTTCAAGTGACAATTATTAAGGTAACTGATAACGTGACAATACTATCAGAAAGATAACGGTTAATACACAGTATGAAGAAGCTCGACAAATTCGTGCTAAATGTTTACACAAACATGGTTTACAGTATACATCTTTGATACTATAATAAAAAAATTACATTTTTTTTTATCATTCCTTCTTGATTGGAAAAATCATTGAGCTCATCTATCACTTTTTTTCAAGATATTAACGTTCTAAATACTCTGCCGAATACTGGGTAGTAAATCGCTAATAATGTTCCTCGCACCCTAAACGGAAGCTTCGCCAAATAACTCGGCGCCGTCAAAATGCGTCCGCGCTCATCTGATATATACATCTAACTTGGATTAATTGACGAGTGTTTCCGAACAAAATTACATCCCGCGGTGGCACTCGATAGTCGAATGTTAAGCTTCATTAATCTTCATACCGACCTATTCCCAGCCGGAGAATCTCTATCGCGGAATTCCGGCGTACAAACCAGACTGACCCCACGCATTGAATCCCCGCGGTATTAATCTACCAAGGGAGAAAGAGGCTAGGGAGGGGGGGGG